TTGGTATTAAGCATAACATGCTAAACTGGATAAAAGCATTTATTGGACAAAGATCGTGTAAAGTCAGATACGGAAATGCTCTATCAAAATCCAATCTTTTACAAATAGGTCTTCCACAGGGAGCTGTCACAAGCTACACTCTTTTCAATGTCTTCATCAATGACATGGCTAAATTGGTACAGACAGTCATGGGCATCAAGTGCTTACTTTATGCAGATGATCTTGTTCAATGGTATTCCGCCCCTAAGAAAAACGCTCAGGAGAGGACAGAAAGTGCCCTAAATGGTGCACATAAACTACTAGCAAACTTGTGCGACAACAATGGAATGGTAGTCAACACCGCAAAAACTGCATTTCAAACATTTTCTCTGGCCCGTCATAGCACAAACCCGCTTCTGAGGTACAAGGATACTACCCTAGAAAAAACCAATGAGTTCGCCTATCTCGGAATGACGTTTGACACAAAGCTAAAGTGAAATAGTCTTAATACTCAAATAGCAGAACGAGTCTCCAATAGACTGAATGTACTGAAGCGTCTTGCTGGTAGCGTATGGGTCTGTGCACGTTCAACTCTCAACACCAGTTACAAGATGTTTATTCAGCCACTAATGTTGTATTGCTGTGAGCCACTCATTACAGTCACAGAGATGACTCTCAAACCACTCGAGAAGGCACACAACCAAGCATTACGACTAATTACTGGAGGGATAAAATCAACACACATTGATGCAATGCTCCTAGTTACAGGAAGCACCACAATACGTTCCCTTATCAAAGAAAAGGCCTTGATCCTGTATGGGAAGCTACCGCGCATTCCCATGGATAAGTTCTTCAGCATCTATGAGAATAGACCAAAACATCTGAAAACGCAATCTGGTCAGATACAGAAAGTCATTGAACTGAAGAAAGCATTACAAATCGATGTCAAACCAAAAATCCTCTAGAATTACAAATCGATGACAAACCATAAAGCCTCTCTCTAATTACAAATCGATGATAAACCAAAAAGCCTCTCTCTCTCGCGATACGAATCGATGACAAACCAAAAAGCCTCTCTCTCCCCATGAACATATTGAGATGACAAACCAAAAAGCCTCTCTCTCCCCATGAAATAGCAGACACTGATGTAGTGTGTTGCACCCAACTGCTTGATTTCTTTAGGAAATCAATCACCCCTCCAGAGCAAATGCGCTCACTGGCCCTTGAGGCAGTTAATGTCAACCATTCTGGAGATCAATGACTCCAAGTCTTCACGGATGAGTCATACATAGAAAAATAAGTAAACGTTGGTGCAGGTGTCTATTCCGAACTCTCCTCTTTCTACGCATCAGCGGGACACAATAAATCCGCATTTGAAGGAGAAGTAGAGGCAATTAAGATAGCACTATGCCAATTATGTTGCCTGGATACGAAATTCATCAAAGCGGTGATACTTTCGGACTCGCAGTCAGCAAAAGCGGTGATACTTTTGGACTCACAGTCAGCGTAAACTCAATTGATACTTTTGGACTCACAGTCAGCGAGAAACTCAAGCGGTGATACTTTCGGACTCACAGTCAGCATAAACTCAATTCGGTGATACTTTTGGACTCACAGTCAGCGAGAAACTCAAGCGGTGATACTTTCGGACTCACAGTCAGCATAAACTCAATTGTGATACTTTCGGACTCGCAGTCAGCAATAAACTCAATTGAAAGCAGTGAGGCACCCAAAACAGCTGAAAAAAGGAATTTAGATAACTCTATCAGCTACTGAGAGAGAAAAACAAAACAGTGGTTCTGCAATATATTCCTGGTCACTGTGGCATTAAAGGCAATGAGCTTGCTGACACACTTGCTAAGAAGGGGACAAAGATTTGGTATTGAATTCACTGGCCGATGTCATTTCAAACAATGGAGACCTTAATCAGGAGAGAATTCCAGACCTCAAGGTGCAACGAACTTAAAGCTCGAATCCAGTCCACACAATGAAGGCCTTAATCAGGAGAGAATTCATGTTACCAACGAACTCAAAGCTCGAACAAAGGAGAAACAGTGGACAGTGGAAACAAAAGAGAAACAGTGGACAGTGGCACTCTCCGACATGGCCGACTGGCCAAGAATCGAAGCTGTTGCTGAGTTTAGACTACGGTCCGGACACTATTGCTTGGAGAAAAGCCTTCACAGATTGGGAGTATACACTCAACCCAACATGCCCCCTATGTAACCTACAGGAGGAAATGGAGAAGCCATGCCCTCTATGTAACCTACATGAGGAAATGGAGAAGACACACCTTACTCGGGAAATGGAGAAGACCCACCTGATTCGGTGTCCAGCCCTACGACAACGACGGAAAGCCAGAGATACTGGGAAGCAAGAAGAGGGACGACGAGAAGACCCACCTGATTCGGTGTCCAGCCCTAAAGACACAGAAGACCCACCTGATTCGGTGTCCAGCCCTAAAGACAGGAAGACCCACCTGATTCGGTGTCCAGCCCTAAAGACAAGGAGAAGACCCACCTGATTCGGTGTCCAGCCCTAAAGACAAGGAAGACCCACCTGATTCGGTGTCCAGCTCTAAAGACAATGACGGAAAGCCAGAGATACTGGGAAGCAAGAAGACAGCTAATGTACTGCTATTAATTAACTGCTATGTATGTACCACCCCACCCATGGGGAAAGCTGAAGTCAAAGTTTACGGGCTAATGATAAATATCACAAAGCCTGCCATTTTAAAATATATTTATGAATAGGTCCGGATATTAATTAGGTCACCGCTTGAAATGTTGAGAATTCCGTTCCATCTCATTTAAGGCACTTTTGGACAGAATTTAAAGAAAACAAAACTTACAAATTCAACCTCCCAAGAGATGGAAGTTTGATCAAACAACATCACAAGCTTCATTCTTATCCGAACTCTATATTAGAAAATTTAAATAGATATTTGGTCCTTTTATCAAGCCGTATACAGGTGAGGTCACCTTATTGAAGAGGGTGTATGATAGATGGCCCTACTTTACCTTGAAACAACGGTCATCATGCTGCAAAAGTCCTTCAGGACAATATATTATTGGTGAATCAGCTCGGGCAAGGGGGCTGGTCTCGTGAAGTTGGGTCCACTTTCACCCTATTCGTCGTACAGTCAGATCCGTGACAGGTGGCGTCACTGAAAAAAATTCAACCGTCATAGATGTCTAACACCTGTGATGATATCAAAGCGTTGCCAACCATAGTCCCTTCTACACCTATCAATCCTAGTTCAAATTCTGTGTAGACATCTCAGTTTACATAAATATCGACCTACTATCTCTGGCCGCTAAAACAATGGTATATTTACGGTTCAAAAGCAAAAAAGTTAAGTTTACTTTCTCAGTGGATAAGTAGAATTATTGGCACTGGAGGTCACATTGAATGTAAGGCAATCCAGAATGTGCCATATATGGGAGACTTCAACACACACACACGCACACCCCATATTTGGGCATATAGTCGACTATACTGGAGTCAACCCATATGTACTCGAAATTCCGTTGCATCAAACGTATCCAACAGGCACCCGTTCTTTACTTAGACGACAACAAATTCAATTGGACGCGAAAGTAACCAAAAGACAATTTGACTGCTCATTTAGATATAATTTTGAGCCAATCCCTAAAATTGCCGTTTAGAAAATGGCTTGGACTTAGTAAGAGTTTCTGAATTGTGAAGAAAAATCGACTATTAAATTAAAAATAAGTCAAATTCGTTGGATTTTAATTAACATAGGCCTCATTAAAAAGAAAGAAATGCCATTGCAAATCAACAAGGTTGTTCAATAAGCCACATTCTCTTCGGTTTTGCCTTCTTATTCTCCTTCTTCTTGGCAACTTACATTGATTCATTTTCTACTTTATTATTCACCTTCTTTGTTGTTTGCTTTGGAGGCTTCTTCTCTTCCAGAGGATTGGATTCTGGTGCTTCTCTTGAATTTACAGCTTTACTTACTGAAATCTCTAGCATCTTGGCTAGTGAGCTGGGAGAACGAGTCTTACTGTCTTCTTTCGGCATTTGGACAGTAGTTTGGACTTCATCAATAAAATTTTTAATTCCAGTGGTTGCGATGGCCACATTGTGGCTTGATTACAAAAGTCCTACTGTTATTGTTGTCTTGATGACCGGTTCGGAAGTTGCGATTCATCTTTGGATTTTTCAAACTCACTCTTCTCCCGACTCTCAATTTCCTCTTGAAGTTTAGCATATTTCTCAACGAGTTTCCTCCTCATGTTTCTCCTTGTCTTTCTGGATTCCGGGTTCACGCGAGTGCCCTCATAGCAACCGGTGTCTGAGCAAATGAATTTGCATGCTTCATTATAGCAACCGCAACCATAGCAACCATCCATCACACACATTGGGTTCTCACAACCATAGAAAATTAGATTTGACGCACGGAGCATACTCCTACTTGGGCGACTATCATACCGACATCCACCAGCATTACAAACGTAAGAACAGAGACCATTTTACAACCAGTTTCCAATTTAAAGCCTCCGCTTGTTTAACCTAAACCGCCATGCTGATCATGATTAAGCTCCCTGCGTGCACACTTTAACCACAAGGGGTGTGCGATAGACTTACCTCCACGTGGTGCACCCTGGGCAACGTATATTCACCCGGCAAAAGTCTATAAACCGGCATTTGACTTCTGACTTCAAACTACCATGGTCCGACTGCTTGTCTTATTCGACCACTTCCACAGTACTCTTCTTCCTTTTTTCTCTACCCTTGTGTCTATCTACCTCTTTTATATCTGTAAATCGCCCTTCTGTTCCCCACCCCTCGACTTTCTTCTACTTTGATGAACCTTCCTTCTGTAAAGCCCAAAGTC